TTCATCACTATCAACTGTTTTTAATAGAAGGTTACCAGCATCGTTTGTAAATGATATTTTTATACATGGTTTTCCTCCTGAGTCATACCATGCAGCCCAATCTACCAAAGTGAATAGTTCAAGACATCAAAGGGCGCTTTGTATATCTTTGCAAAAGACTATTGGATTATACATCATCCATTTCTTGAATATCATTTATTGGCTTTAAAAGCTGCACTCTTTCATCGGGAAGAGTAGTATTTAGGAATATTACTTGACGAGAAGACTTCTTCATAGGAAGCTGTAAAACAATGTAAACAGCTTCTTGTGCACTAATCTCCACACAGTTTAAAAATTTGTTTCCAGTGTCTCTGACTTGTTGCTTTATGCTAGAATTTCCTTTTCTGGCTTCAGCACATGCTTTTCGTAAGAGTTCACTCATTCCTTTTTGTGTTGTAGAAATATATACGAAACTATATAGGTGGCACATAGGATATCCATATTTGCTCTCCATGCCTCGAGGCAAGCAGGATTATAGTTATTTAATCTTAACTCGTTGGGTTTTCTTTTTAAAAACACAGTTGGTGCATTTAAAGATGACCCGACAGCCAATCGATACTCATTTTCAATAACTTTTAACTTGACAAGTAGTTGCTCAAAGGCTATAGATTCACCTTCTTTCATGTCATTTCATTGCTTGTTGATTGTTTTCCAAGTGTCTTTAGACTGTTTTATTTTATTTTGTGGTATGTCTTCTTGTAAAAGATAGAGAATTTCAGTTGCTCATAGGAAGTTGTGAATGATGAAATCGACGTTCATTCTTCCTACAAGTGTGACAATGCCTGTGAATTTGCTTGTTCACAAGTGAATGTAATTCTGGATCATCAAATAGCCACCGACAACTAATCATCTTATCAATAAAATCGGTAACAACAACATTATCACCAACTCTAAATACTGGTCCACCTTCAAGCCATATAAGAATGTGTATGTGGGGTGAATCCCGTTGTTGGTATTCAACTCTGTAGAACCAGTCAGAAATTTTCCCTAATGGTTGAGCTTTATCAGAAAGAAAGTTTGTCAGAAATTGACCAATTTGATGATCAAAATGTCTGGCACATGTTACTGGGTCACTTTGAATTAACCTGCGTTTCTCATCCCAGCTCATATTTTCAAGCTCAGTGGTAGTGTAGTCTTTGTGATCTACTACCTGACCAAGTATTCGTAGGAAATGTATCCACTGTGTTTCTGCTGAAGAAAAGCTACAGCTGCTGGTCCTAATTGTCTTATCATTGCAATCAAGTCCTTTTTAGCCTTTCAAAATATGGTGGTGAACCTCTTAATGCTTTCAAGAACTGGAATCCTTCATCAAGATGAATCAAGCGCTCAGTTGCTCCTTCTCATTTTAATTGTCCTGCATTTAAAGATTTGTTATTCCCTTTGCACTTCCTTAGTGCAACTTAGAATTACTTACTTCTTCCCCTCCCACCTCCAGCCCACACAACCTTTTTTCCAATTCCCATCACGACGAATGCACAAGTTTTCTTATCACACAACTGGCCAAAAATAGAAGAAAATTTATTCCATAAGTCTTGAAAGTTCACATAAACCGTCTTTAACTGTACAACAAGTTCAAGAAATAATAATAATAATAATTTACCAATTTATATAGCGCGTATTTACATGTGCTGATCAATAGCGCTTTACAATCATACGTTTAAAAGAAAACGAAAATACATTACCGTGAGAATAAAATAACTAAGTTACAAACTATAAAAAATACTTCTTAAAAAGATAGGTTTTAAGTCGAGATTTAAAACTGTTAAGTGATGTTGCTTGACGAAGCTCCACAGGTAGCTCATTCCAGAGTTTTGGAGCTGCTGCTGAGAATGATCTTGCTCCCAATGTTGTAAGCATCTTTCCCTTGGGATGGTCCAATAAGAGCTTACCAGTAGACCTAAGATTATATAATGAATTCGATTTTATACTAATAAGATCGCTAAGATAAGTTGGCGCTAGGCCATAAATACATTTGAAAGTCAAAAGTAAAATCTTATAGTCAATAAGCAAAGAAACTGGCAGCCAGTGCAGCTCATAAAGCGCCGGTGTAATGTGAGAAAACTTTCCAAAGCCAAGAATAAGTCTTGCTGCTGCGTTTTGTACACGCTGTAATTTAGCGATCTGCGCATTTGGTAAGCCAAACAATAAACCATAACAATAGTCAAGACGGCTGGTTATAAAAGCATGAGCCAAAGTAATTAAAGAATCTCTCGACAGGTATTTCTTAATACGTCTCAAGTTATGTAAATGATAAAATGCCGCATCACAAGCCTTGTTTATATGATCAGTCATGCTTAAGTTGCTGTCAAACCAGGATCCAAGATTTCTAACACATGGGCTTGGACTGATACGATTATTGCCCACAGTTATGGAACACGAATCTAATTTATCAAGCTGTTGTCGTGTGCCGACTAACAAAAACTCCGTTTTATCATCATTGATCATCAACCGATCTTGAATCATCCATTTCCTCACCGCGTCAATGCACTTTTCCATAGCTTGTATAGCATCAGCTTGAGCAGTGTTGCCGAGTGGTTTAAAACTCAGATACAGCTGCGTATCATCAGCGAAACAGTGAGCATCAGGAAGATAATGTTCCACGATCTTAAACAGCTTGGACGCATATATTATGAATAGCAAAGGCCCTAAACATGAGCCTTGGGGTACCCCGCAGTTCAAGTCAAAAGGACGAGAAAGAACTCCATGTACAGAAACGCGCTGACTTCTATCAGACAAGTACGATCTAAACCAATTCAGAGCAGTCCCACGTATGCCAACCTCGTCAGATAGCCTCTCTAAAAGTATTCGATGATCAACAGTGTCAAAGGCAGCACTGAGATCCAATAAAATTAACATAGTGACATGTTGAGAGTTCATCTTTAACAAAATATCGTTCATCACCTTGATAAGTGCAGTTTCAGTGCTATGGAATTGCCTGTAAGAAGATTGAAGCGTAGGAAAAATAGCATTTGAAACCATGTGATCGTAAACTTGATTTAAAACGACTTTTTCAGTCAACTTGGATACGTATTGTAAGTTACTAACTGGTCTGTAATTTTTGTACAGCAAATCCAATCCAGGTTTCTTCAAGATAGGATTAATAAGCCCACATTTCCAATCATCCGCAAATTCTCCAGAATTAAGAGACAGGTTGATCATTTTAGTAATGACTGGTAATAGCACATCAGCACAGCTGATTACCATAGATGTTGACATCGGATCAAACATACAGCTTTTCTTCGGAGAGCAGCCAATCAACTTACTAACAGCACTTTCAGTTAAAGGGATAAAGCTGTCCAGTGTTCTAGTTGGTAGCGTTTTCACATAGTCAAAATGAGAATCATGCAAACAATCGGCTAGTCTGTCCAGTTTGACATGGATGGCGTCAATCTTTTCAACAAAGAAGCTACCCATTTCATTGGCTAAAACCAGCTTGTCACTAGTTGGTGGAAAAGGTACTTCATGACCTTGATTTAGCAACCTCTTTGTTGCCGAGAATAGGTTCCTTCGATTGGAGTTATTTTCAACAATAAAGTCTGAGTAAAACTTACGACGGGCTTCATTCATCAGGTAGGTTGTAAAGTTCCTCTTCTTTTTAAATTCAAGCAAATCATTGAAACTTCGAGATCGACGCCGTTTTCTTTCAGCTCTCCGTCTTTCCCTCCTTGAATCCCTAATATCTTCACTAAACCAAGGTACCAAAGGCCTCACTGTGATAAACTTAGTGACAAGTGGAGCATGACGATCAAGAGCCGCAGATAATGTAGAATTATAACATTTAACAAGATCATTCAGAGCATCAGGGCTGTCTGTACAAAGCGAAGTTGTAGAGAGTTCATCGCATAACAGGTTAACGTAATAACAATCTGAAGTTTTCGCGACTAGAACTCGACCATCCAATGAGAAAACTCAAAAGAAGTACGCTCACCAGCATCTACACGACTTGCATGTAGATTTTCTCTTATCAATAGAGCAGTTCCACCACCACATCGATCAGATCGTGTGTGATCAAACAGTTTGTACCCGGGTGGGGTAATTTCGGCTCGGCACGCATCATCAATTTCTGAGAGCCATGTCTCAGTTACTGCGAAAATATCAGCTCCACATGATTCAACATAGGAAACCAAGTCCGCCGATTTGTTTCTCACAGACCTGGCATTCAAACTACAGAATTTTAGATAGCTTCCACTACGAAAACGTTGTTCAGGAACTACAGGAACCAAAACAGAAGTGCGAGAAGTGGTTCTATCACGGCAAGTAGTATGACTTATTCGATCAGAAATACGTACAGATATCTTCCGTCGGCCAGCTCGACATCCTCTAAACCTTAGAAGTCCATTTAGCTTTAAAACATGGAGAACTGATCCACAAACAAAGCTGCGAGACGCGCGACGAATGCCAAGTAGTTCAGCACGGGTGTATGTTATAACTCGAGTATTTATATGCAAATCCAAGATATTCGGTAGATTTTCATTTCGCCTCTTCAAATTGTTTTGAGTTAAAGTCTCCGGACCAGGATTAATCGCAATGTCTCCAAAAATTGTGATGTTTAGAGGCGGGTCGTGACCAGGAATTAGCAGAGATGTACATCCGTGCTTTGTCCAAGATACCGAGGGAATCTTGGCGCGATGAAATCCAAAGCACTTCGTGACAAAAACAATTGAAGGTCGTCCAGTGACAGCAAATCGGCCGTAATGACTGAAATATGCGCCAGGAAAAACCTTGAGAGCTTCTTGGCAAGGCCCATGATGGTGGCAATCGATTGGATCCCAAGTAGAAAGAACAAATAAGTAAGAAATAAAACACTAAAATCAGAGCTCTGAAACTCGTGGCCGCCATGTTCGGCGCCGCCGCTGACCCTCCAAGAAATCAATACAAACTTAAGCCACAACATGAATGAGCTGGCTCCAAGAGCCCTTTGATCTTGTTACTAATTTCTTTATTGTGTTTGTTTATTGTAGTCTTGATTCCCAAGTGAACATCGAACCAATGGTTACCTTTCTGGCCACTGATTTTCGTGAAGATATGGAGTTTCACTTCTCTCTTGGCTGGCATGCAATTTTGAGGAAGTTCTTGTGGCCTCGTTATGCCGGAGTAGCCATCGCTATGGGAGCAAATGTAAGAACACGTCTTTAGTAATGAAATAATAAACGATGAAAAAAAATTAGCCTAGTCAGAGAAGAGTTAAGGTCGAAGGGGCACATGAAGAGCATCAAAATCTTTGTAATAACTTTCGAAAGGAAACTGTTTAATGTAATTCGATTTCAAACGAGGGAAATTGCTGAAAGCCATTTCTGAGTTGTTGTTTTGATCCCCAATTAACCTCTGCTCCATCACTCCGGCCTTCCATATTTGATGGCCGTTTGAGTGCTCGACCAACGAGAACACAATATGGATGAACTGTACTCCGGAATGATTAAAACGCCTACTCCATTTCATTGTAAGTTAGGAAAAGGAAAGCAAAAGGCGATGGTTTTGTAGCTGATCACTTTAAAATAAATGAAAACACATGCTTCTGAAGACGGTTAGGAAAAAAGAGAAAAAGAAAGATAAGGAAAACTTGCTTTCACTTGGAGTCGATCTTCAATCTTTTCGCTTGTGAGGTGAAGTGAAATCCATTTCGCCACAGTTGTACTGAGGTTGGATGGATGTGTCGCCCCTCGATAATTTATTTTCGAACTGTAGTGGCTAATGGCAACTTTGATTTTGTTTAAGATTCAGCGAAATGTGCAGAGCTTGGTCTGTACCACACCAGCTGTCGAGCGAGGGCTAGCTTTACTAACGATAATCACTGTTACACTGGTACTCATAGTTGGAGGACTGGTGAGGGTTAAAATATTGTATTGATTCAGAGAACCTGAGGCATAAAACATAGCGGTCAAACGTTGGGCATACGCGAGGGGATCAACTCTTGCCGGCCGTGCTTCAATTTCCCGCGTAAAATTTCAAATGAAAACAAGAAACAACCACTGTCCTGCAAAGGAAGCGAAAGAGAATCGATACGATTATAGAAATGTGCTAAAGGAAACAGAAGTAGGGAAAAGGAAAGCGAGAGACTTTTTTAACACTAAGCTTTTTCAAGTACTGGTATCCTGTGGATTTACGAACTGTTTTGAGCTTTACCAAAAGAAAATGCTTTTGAAACACCTTAACGCACTGGCTTTTGTGGTTGTCGGTAACTTGTGTGAGACAACTCGTATTTGACTTAAAGCGCACCACCCAGTCGTGACAACTTTCGCTCATGCGTATACGTTTGACCGCTGTACAGACAAAATCGCATCTCTTAAAAATGTTATTTGAGTTTCCACGCAACATTATGGATTTATGGATGTATGTATGCCTACACGAAGCGTCCATTTCAATTCGTGTTTCTCTAATTGCAGATTTGGAAGATTGTAGGATGGTGGTTCATGGCTTTGTGTGGAGGATTATACATTGGTGTCTATGTAATTGAAAGGGTATTTTGGACAGATGGTGCTAAAGAGAGAGCCTTCAAACGACAGTTTACGGACTACGCTTCTGACAAGCTTCAGTCAAATGTCAACGTCATTAGTGCTAAGTGCAGTGCACAAGTAAAACAGTAAGTTTGGCTGCCATGTGATTTTTGAAGCGTCATTGATGTGATTGTTGGTTACATTTTCTTTTACCCACGAATCCTTGTGGTTGGTTTTTATTTCAATTTGTGCCTCGTGGTCTGGCCAATCAGACAAGGTGTCATTCTTTTGACGAATTAGGTCGCACATCGTTCAATACTTGCGAATTTTCAGGCGGTTTACACGTGCTGTCTTGCCAATCAGACCAGGTGTCATACTTTTGACCAATCAGGTTACAAATAGTTAAACAGGCGCAAATTTTACCGCGCTTTACGCTCGGTGCCAGACATTGATTTACCTCTCAATTGATTTCTGCCGCGTAATAGCACCATTTTGAGCCAAAAGTTAAGCCATTTATTCATAGATACCTTTCTGCTGAAGTGACTGTCGTATTTGCCAAAAGGCTATTATCAACTTGTTTAAACTCAAGCTCACCAGCACACAGCAGAGGATAAATTCACTTGACTTTAAACTCAGTGTTGAAACGGTGCCTTATGGTGAAAGGCTGGAAGTGTTAATTGGATGTAACGAGGGTAGTAATGTAACGATTCCAAAATCGTCTATGGCTGTTTGATATTGCACCCATTCGGAATGCTATTCTAAGCATGCAAAGCCTGAAGTGTCTTTACCTCTGCCGCACTATTATTTCATGACCGAGAAAACAATGCCGTTTGGTGTTAAAAGTGTTAATTAAATGGACTGTTCAGCCTGACAAAGGATTGATTCTGCAGAGGAACTTTTATACCTCAATTGCCTCTAGTTTAACTGAATATCACGTGCTGAATAATTCCTCATAGTTGTTGTTTGCTATTTTGATCTTGTTTTTAGGATTACTGCGTATTAATTCCTCTTGTTTATAATATGTGGTGTTATCGATTAAACTCAAATGTTAGACCGATTTTCCACAAGTTCGTTCCGGTCTTAGCTGTGTAATCTTGTGACAGTGCGTGTGTCGGCTTGTTCGCTTTTGATCTCGCGGTATTTCAACGGTTCGGCGATAAGATACTTAACAATGCCAAATCCCCGATTGTTTTGAAAACTTGTTATTGTGTTCTTCAGATAAAGAAACATTTTATTTTATTTTATTTCAGAAAAATGACGATAACCTTCGCGAAGCTTGAGTCTCTGGTTCAGAGAGAAGTGAAAAATTTGAAAGAAAAAATCATCAAACTGGATAAAGAAATAACAAGACTTCAGAAAATCGAAAACGATGCGAAAATATTAAGGTAATTCTGTCCTACGTATTGGCAATTAATTGATGACAACAGAAGAAACTGAGGTTTATGGAGGGAAGGGGAAAAATCAATAGTGAAATGGGGGTGGGGTGGGGGAAAATTATTTTCTTCTGAACCCAATGTATCATTACCCTCCCTCTTTACATTGGGTTGGCACTCTTTCTCGCTGAAGGGAACAATGTGGCATGTATAAGGGATTTCCCACGGCTTCATAGACTAGCATTCCTAAGAAAAGATTATGTGAAAATGAAAGGAAGGGGTAGGGTGTGAAATTGCGCCTAATACAGGCGCCAGTGCGACTAAATATTTCACTGTGGCAACCAAATCCCGAAAGTTAGTCGCCAAATTGGCGACTAGAATGCTTCATCACAACCTTATCTAGAGATGTAGTGATTTAAAAAGATTTGCAAAGATAAATCCGTGGCAAACTTCTTCGTTAAGTTTGTTCCGAAAACACAACACATGCATCTCGATCAATAACTGGACGCCATCTTGGATTTAGGTGGGCTTGAACAAGGTATATCATCCATCCTAGTGTTCACTTTGTAGCACGTTAAAGATCTCTTTCCCAACGTAATTTTGGAGGGTCTATCTAGAACGCAGACAGCGTAAAAAAAGGTTTTGTTTGTCTTTAAAAATGTCAATTAAATTTTTTTTAAATGGCTTACACTTTGGAAAATTTAGGAGAATTAATTTCACACCCTTAGGCGGGGTGAAGGGGGAGTGAGAATTATCCCTTGCCCCTTCATAGACCACCATTTCATCTTAGGAAATACTTCTTTTATCAAGGGGAAGGGATTACCCTCTACCCCGCCTTCACAGACAACCTCATCATCCTCAGAAATGGGAGCATCGTTTGTAAACATTAGCATGAGGAGTGTGCAGCATCAGAAGTTCTAAGTGAGCTCGCTTTCTGTCCTCAGGAAAGAAGCAAGTCAGTTGGAAAGCGAACTTTCCCGATTCATCACCGAGTATGGCTCGGAAAAGAGCACAATTTGAAATCTGATGAAGAAAGACGCCCTGGAATACAGGAATAAAAGGAAAAATATTATCATCTAAGCATACTTCTAAGCTAGCGAGAACTTGATTTGCAACCTAAAACTTTGGATCAGTATTAGTAGCTGGGAGCAGACCCTTACATAAAGCTACCGTACAGTTTCAACAAAAAACCCCTTAAATAACTCGTCATTGTTACATAGCGACTATTCAGAGATACGACTGAAAACCCATAGATTTTAGATACGAATCTAAGACCCCTAGATGTAACGAAAACATTCACGGTCGATATCGACATCTGCGTGCAGACCCATAGATGTAAGATAAGATACGATCAACACAGACCTCTGATCGTAAGATTTTACGATCTCTCTCAACATTTGGCACAGATCTGTCACGTAAGACACGTTGATTTGAACCCATGAATTTAAGGAACAACATCACCATCAAAATCTGGGCATAGACCTGTCATGTAAGACACAATGATATAAACCCCTGATTGTTAGAATCCTTGATTGTAACAACCCCTGATCGTAAGAACCCCTGAATGTAAGACCACCGATTGTAAGAACCCCCGATTGTAAAACCATTGATTTCAGGACCCCTGATTAAGAAGACCCTTGAGTGAGGTACACAGTTAAACCCCTGAATTTATAGTATTGATATAAACCTCTGAGTGGAAACCACGAATTTGAAACTCCTGGAGTTGAAAGTATAAAACCCTCAGAATGTAAGGTATGAATTAAAACCCCTTAATCTAAACGACTTTTTACAACTCTTGATTTTAAAGGTACAGAGTAAAAACAGCATTCAAGTAATTATGGTAACTATGGCGTAACATGCCGTTCACAATTCAGTCAGGATATTTTCCTTATCGAAAAATCAATTTTCATGTCGGAAATCGATTAACAGGGTCCGTTGTTTGCCTCTTTCAGACCTCATTGTCTGTTATTTCCCGTGTCTGGTATTATTTCCCATGATGTCTGTATTTACCGAGTGGATTTCGACTTATTTCCCTTCTATATATTAATGCTCGAGTCCTTAAACTGTTCGTTACAATCATCGAGTCCGAAATTTGTCTCATTGCTGGAGCCTGATAATTTTCTCAGTTGCCGACTCTGATAACTGCAAAATACTCTCCTACCCAGACTTCTCACGGTACAAGGTAAGGATAGTTTTAGATAGGTAATAAAAACTGTATAGTAATCAAACAGACTGCAGTTAGTCTTCTCCTTTAACTTCATGCATATTGCACAATTAAGACATGTACCATTGCCATAAGGTTGTTGATTAAGACCAAATTAAGAGAGTGTCTCTGTAAGAGCGGTCCGGTCGATTTTGCTTGAGACACGGATTTCGCTCGTTTCTCGTGTGTTATAAGACATTCATGTACCTATACTAAAACCACAATCAGTTTGATCGGATCTCTTTATTTTTCAGGGTTTTACGGAAATTAAATTTCACGCGAGCGAAGGCTTGTCGTGACACTTTTCAAGACTACTTTCATACAACTTTGGAGGACTATTTACAAAAAACTACGGAATTTAGCAAAAAACAAATACCACAGCAATGTATATTAACTCTATCTTATCTATCGAGGCGACTTTCGTAAACATCACTTGTCAATCAAGGAAACAGGAAGACTTGAATGACACCTTCTCGGTTCGCCTAAATCACACCCGCCGAAACCGATCAAATTCAATATAAATTTTTGAAAAAGTGAGGCGTTCTTAACTGATCCAACTAACAAAGCTAGGAGGTAGGTGCCATAGAAAAGGTAACTACAGAAAAAAACTTTGCGGCCCGACCTTCACGAGAACTTTATAACTCCGTGAACTTACCTAATTTTCGGCAATCTCCAAGTTTGGCCGCCATTTTGAGGGACTTGTCAACATGAAGCGTAGCCGATATAAATCAAGCAGGTAGATCTAAAACCGTCAGAAATACATACGAAAGCAATTCAAATGAACTTTACTTTCGATTCAAGCGGAAAAATTTGAAATTGTTCGTTAAACTTACCATCCCCATGCGACCATTTCTTCGAACAATTCAAACACTACAACTTTCTGAATTCCCCTCGTCGATTCCACCGCAAGAAATAACCTGTGCCATTCAAGCTTCGACTCAAATGTGAAGTACGAATCAAATAACATTACTGCTTCATCTTCGTGGCAATATCACGCTGGTATTTTAATTTTCCGATCGACAAGAACGGTGATCAGGAATCGATCGGTTTGTTTACCTCATAAACGTGACCGCTGACCAGCTGCTGAGTGAAAAACAGTACGGTTCAGTGGCGAGGGGCGGGGTGAGGGGTGGGTGCGGGCAGATTATCAGAAGATTTTTGGTAACATTCGAACATATGCATTAAAGTATCATGATAAACACTAGGATTCTCAGTCTTAATGCGAAGGCATGCTTCGTGTTGCAGACAACTTTTATTTTACTTTGTATTCTTTTTTATTTCAAATACATTTCGTTTTCCAAATAGGACTAGCATCAGTTCATAGATTTAAAAACAAATCTTTACCACGTAAATAAATGTGTTTAGATAATCGAGATAACCATTGAACCTCTTGTATCGCACCGGAAATAACGTGTCTTGTCTTTGCCCAACTCTGAGAGCGTGGAGCGGCAAAGACGCGAGATACGAGTCTCGCGTCTCGCGGATTCACCATGCTCACAGGATACGCGTGACCTCATTATCTTTAAGAAAAATAAGAGACTGCTCGAAGTCTGTATCCCGTTCAACCATTTCATAAGAGTGACGCAAGTCTTTCAATTGAGTGAGAAAGTCACAAACCCATTCTTTACCTCACGAGCGTAACCACTGACCACTCACGAATTACAATAGGCTTCTCCTTTGACGCAGAAATTGAAATCGTATCGAATATACAAAGTAATTGTGAGTTCCTTTAGATCTCCCGAACTTTATCGCGTTGGAAACAATTACAAGTACAGGAAGAAGTCGTTCATTAGCGAGACGTTCATTATGTCTCAGGACTCCTTTTTGAATAGCAAAGATGGAAAAAACTTTGGTTCATTGTGTGGCTTAAGTGAAATGACGATGTAAAACATCATTTGATAAGCTGCCGCCTGTCTAAAGAGGTTTTTAAGTGAAAATGAGCTAATCTTGGCAAAGATTGGCCTATTTCACCTCGCTCAGGAGGATAAACAAAAAAATGTGGATTTGCTATAGGCATCGCCACACTCTGGGCAAGTTTTGGAGAAGTGCAAAGGTAACATGTCACTATCCTGATCATGATGGTGTCAGGAAGCGTATCCAAGGCAGAGATATAATTACCTTGCATATGTCTCAGGACATTCAAAAGCTGTTTGGAGTTATTATTCCAGTTGAATCAGGTAGTCTTCAGTAACATTTTCTGTTATATTATATTCTGCTCGAAAAGAGAAGAAATTCTTTATTAGATGAAGGGTACTTAAGTACACATCACGTTAAAAAAATAGATCTATGTGTAAGTGCTTTTAATTACAGATGGAAATATGTGCAATGTTGCTCGGTTGATAATCAATAATGTTTTTTTAGAAGATCAAATCACCTGACAACGAAATATACTTACTCATGCATACGGTTTACAATTATTTGCCGTCAGTTTTCCTCAGTTTGTATGATTCTCATTAACCAGTATGATTAAATTTGCAGACTAAAACACCCCTTATTTGATTAAGAATAATAAAAGTAAACAGTGTATGTTGGTTTTTAATTCCTGATGGATGCTACTGGGCTTTACTTTAACTGAGAAATTTGCAATCGCTTACCTCAGCTCTCTAAGTCTCATGCCGTAAGAAGCACAAGAAAAAAGTTGATGATAGTGAGTCTTAGCTTAGACAAGAAGAATCAGAAAAGAATCTACGGTCCCCAGAAACGCCACTTTTAAACACGAGAGAACTAAGATAAATTGAATTAAGTGTTATTTGTTTTATTTAAAACTATCGTTCAGATTATGATACGCGAAAAACTCTCCCCACCGATTTTTTCTTACATTTTGTTAATCAAAAGTTTCAATAATTATAAAGGCTTTCTTGTTGATCGTCTTAAGATTAACAGTTTCCAGGATCCAAAGGGAGCAAAAGAGAGAACAATTTTCTGTGTAGCTAGGTAAGGCGACATGCCGGCTTTATACTTCTTCCGGCGTGATAACGATAATGATGACAACAATGGGCAAAAAGCACCGTCCGCTAATGATGACGATTATCACAGTTATTAACAAATCTCAGTTATAGTCCTGAAAACAATCTCAGGGGGTCCTTTGAACAATCCACTTAATCTCGCCAGAAGTCAAAGTTGCCTACACTCATTCTAAGGTTCGTGCGATTTTACGACGAATTTTCAATTCCGGTGTGTTGCATGCGCGACTTTTGATAGAAAAAACCTGCACGCGCCATAACTTAAAACAAAGTGTCACCGGAATGAATCAAATCTCTATATACATTCTTGGGAACAAAAAAAATTACTTAGAGCAAACATTCTAAGTATAGTGTTCATTCCGTGCAATGGGGCATAAATAAAAGGTTCTGGTGGAAAGGACACGTTATTTTATACCACTGATGACATGCAAAAAGGGTTATATGGGTACCCGGTTAAAAAAATATATTGATAACTCTATTAATTAATACCAGTTCCAATTTAAAGGAGAAAGTTATGAGAATAAAATAAAAGTTGTCTGCACCACGAAGCATGCCTTCACTGTTTGGACTGATAGTCCTAGAGCTTTTTGAGCATGTATTCGAATATCTTATGACGATAAGCCCGCCACCCACCCCACCCCGCGCTATGCTGTTTTCACTTAGCGGCTGGTCAGCGGTCACGTTTATGAGGTAAACAAACCGATCGATTCCTGATCACCGTTCTTGTCGATCGGAAAATCAAAATACCAGCGTGATATTGCCGCGAAGATGGAGCAGTTATCTTACTTTATTCGTACTTAACATTCGAGTCGAAGCTTGGATGGCACAGGTTATTTCTTGCGGTGGAATCGACGAGGGGAATTCAGAAAGTTGTAGTGTTTGAATTGTTGAAAGAAATGGTCGCATGGGGATGGTAAGTTTAACAAACAATTTCAAATTTTGCCGCTTGAATCGAAAGTAAAGTTCATTTGAATTGCTTTCGTATGTATTTCTGACGGTTTTAGATCTACCTGCTTGATTTATATCGGTTACGCTTCATGTTGACAAGTCCCTCAAAATGGCGGCCAAACTTGGAGATTGCCGAAAATTAGGTAAGTTCACGAAGTTATAAAGTTCTCGTGAAGGTCGGGCCGCAAAGTTTTTTTCTGTAGTTACCTTTTCTATGGCACCTACTTCCTAGCTATGTTAGTTGGATCAGTTAAGAACGCCTCACTTTTTCAAAAATTTATATTGAATTTGATCGGTTTTGGCGGGTGTGATTTAGGCGAACCGATAAGGTGTCATTCAAGTCTTCCTGTTTCCTTGATTGACACGTGATGTTTACGAAAGTCGCCTCGATAGATAAGATAGAGTTAATATACATTGCTGTGGTATTTGTTTTTTGCTGAATTCCGTAGTTTTTTGTAAATAGTCCTCCAAAGTTGTATGAAATTAAAGTCTTGAAAAGTGTCACGACAAGCCTTCGCTCGAGTGAAATTTAATTTCCGTAAAACTCTGAAAAATAAAGAGATCCGATCAAACTGATTGTGGTTTTAGTATAGGTACATGAATGTCTTACAACACACGAGAAACGAGCGAAATCCGTGTCTCAAGCAAAATCGACCGGACCGCTCTTACAGAGACACTCTTTTAAGGAAGCATTTCTCCACTTCCTCGCAATAAATGTAGAAAGCCCTGTTTTGGTATTCATGGCGATTTTGGCAAAATTTTGACACTTATCACAGTTTGTTAAGTTATCGTACAACGTCAGACGGATTCTCCAGATGAAAGTATCACTGGAAAAGTTATAACAAACTTTTCATGAATGTTTTAACGCTACAACATACGACAGTAATCAGCTCGTGCCTTAATAACATGCTAGTAGAGCCGAAAAGCCACCTTATAGAGAAAATCAGCAACATTGGAGGGAAAAAGGAAGTTTACAGTGGCAGATATTTTGTCGTAAAGGGAGGTTTAAGAGCATGGAAACTTGTAAAGTAAGATGAAACCAAACCAAGAGTCCACAGCTATTCTGCCACAACAATTTATTATTCACTAAATGTTGTCCACATTTCATTAATGAAGTGACTAATTACATCCCTATTATTAAAAACAAAAAACTTGATCTTCTTGCATTAAATGTATGAAAAAAAAGATAAATAAATTAGAAATGCGAACGGATTTGAGAAACGCCCAAAAAGAATGAAATTATCTGTTACGCCACAGCTATGGTCTTGTCTATCTTATTTGTAAGTTTAACACAACGTCAAAAGTCGTCAGCCTATAATTCAAATTTGGCTCAAGCGATTTTAAAAAGGCAATGAAACTCTTGTAGCCTAACGTATAATTAGACAATCTCAACGAAACTGTCTCTATTACAAAAAGAAGAATACCTAAACCATGTTTATGGTTATGATGCAGTGTTTTCACAGAGCGCTTTATTTTTTTTTCTTTTCTCGCCAACGTCATACTTGCCTAGCTGTAGTTACGTGGAAATATTAAACCTTATCTGAGGATTCTTTATCAGTCACACAAATTTTATTCCTAGCTAATTTGGAAATTCACAACATACTTTTTCGCTGGTTTAGAAATGTTCACTCTGACGATGCGGACGGTCATAGAAAAAGCTTTCATTTCGATGTACATCAGTCTGAGAGAACACTGCATCGCAGTCACCCAACTTAAGGTAACAGTGTGTCATATCTTCATTTAACAAATGAAAATTTACAAAAAAAAAAAGAAAACCTTTCAATAAATATTTCCATAAAAAGCCGGCCGGTGTTTCTCTCTGCCTCTCGTTTCAGCGTTGCCAAGGCAACCTCAGTCCCAAAGGTCTACCCTTCCCGCAGGCGAAGATCTGGCTGCAGCTCAATGATTACTGGGTTTGCTGGCCCGAAGACAATTCTAAAACAAATTTTTAAGAGGTTAATTATTTTTTATCTCAACACACACACACACACACACACACAAAAAACATATAAAACAACACAACAAGAAAGAGGAAAAACAAAGAGAAAAAAGTTTTAGTTATTTCCCTTCATAAATTCTTAGGTTTTTGGAGCTATCTACTCGGATATGACCAAAGTTACTAAGCATGCGTTATTTTGGTTCAACCGATTCATAGAGGGTTGGCAGCTAGTACAGGTTAACTTTGTAGGTACAGGGTTTAGCATGAGTAACCAATCCGTAATCAAGGGGGTGATATGATTTACCTGAATGAAGCTCGTACAGGATGAACGGCTCGGTGCAACTGCAAGAATAACTTGTACTTTGTGCGACGTACGTACAGCAACATCCTCCACCTGCACTCTTAAAATTCGTAAACTCCGCTGGCCATCGGTTCTGCAGTGTTTCCGGCTTGTAGCATATCTGCTGCCATTTGTTTGACGTTAAAGATGGACCAACAGAAACCTCCGAGTGCCATTTTTGTCTTGTTTAAGTCATTCGTGTCCTGTTGTGTTGGAAATCAAAGCAGCGTCATACTGACTTTAGTGAAAGGAAAATTCACTGGGGAAATATTGTAAGCTGAATAGCGTTAAAAAAATGTTCGACCACTCCCACTCCACCCCCCCCCCGCCCCCCCCCACACTTCGTCCCCGTAAATCTGCCTCAAGTAGTATCTTTTTATATCATCCTCGTGAGATCGTATTCTAAAGGAAACAAGAGGACCATCTACTCAGTCAACTTTTTCAGTCTCGACTGATGATTTTTAAAGCAAAAATCTGTTCAAAGTTTTGTAGAACTGTTAAAAAATCTGTGGACACGCAGTGACGTCACGCTAACTATTAAGTAACAATTAAAGATCGGAAGGGGAAAACATTAAGGAGAATTGGCCTCGGTCAGCCTTACCTTTATAAGTAATACGTCTAAGAGCTTTTCACCCATCTCTGTCAGCAGTGACACGTGCTTTTCTGCTTGCTCCTTGTTATGTTGCTCCATCTCCCTAAAATTCCCAGCAAAATGGCATCCATTGACTTTACATTGTCGCTGCCTCTCCTCGAATACAAGCAGATGGGTTTGCAACTCCATCCTAAGAGTAAACAAAAAGTAAAAGCTACATGAAGGTATCTACTGATGAGGAAAAGAAGTCGCAACTGTTCAGCTCAACTCATATTTTATATTTGTTTATTTCATTATCTGCTGTTGATTCTTGAAAGTGATAAGAGCTGAGCTTAAAAAATCTAATACAAGAAACTGCATACCCACACCAGATGCTTTTTTTTTTACATGTTAGTATGGTCGAACTGGGCTGAGCTTACGCAAGAAACTTAAAGATGCTTTTTTTTTTACGGACTTAAAGATCATTTTAAGTTTGAAATGATAATGTACAACACTTTGTGACCACACCTTCTCGGACGCTTCCTGCATTTTAGAAGGCAACGGATTTCTCTCCTTGGGCAAGTCTTCTCAAGATGAAGTTCCTTGTTGGCCACTGTGGTATTTTGGTGGCATTGTTCACATGAGATGACTGCGTAGAGACATTCCTCCTTAGGAGTCGGCTCGTCCTTTCTTTTGATACTGCGTTGGCAGCCCCTATTCGAACAGGATATGAGGGCATCGGGGCAGGTGTGTCGTGCTACCACTTCGATGCTCCCCCTCTCGATGCACGCTGTGCATTTTACCTCAATCTTCTCCACCAGCTTTTTGAGGGTGAAGTTTGTCTTCAGCTGTGTGGAACTCCATATGGGCTTTTTACAAAGGGGGCAATGGCTGGTAGTTGGGTTTTGTTGCACCCTGCTAATACACGTTTTACAGAACGTGTGCCCGCAGTCAGGCAAAATAATTGGCTCCAGCATCAGGGTATCACTAAAGCACAAAGAGAACATGGATTTCGACTGCTCTGAGTTTTCGCAAAAGAGAATCAAAGGAATTCACCAGAGTTAATCAGAGGACGCAAAGAAAAAAAAAAAACTACCGGAAACGCGGGAAAATGCGACCGACTCGTGAATAGGTTTAGTTTTGAATAGGGTTGGCTGAGACGATGGTGTGCTTGTCATTTATGACAATCGCAAAGCGAATTCGGACCCAAAACAGTCCCAGATCTCAGATTACTTTTGAAACTTAATCGAAAGATTCCTCAAAAATCTGCCTTTACTAGTACGAGGTTTAGGGGAGTGGCTAGAACTGATGGCGTCCTAAATTCCATAGATTTAAATTTTTATGTTTTTTTTTCCTGCGCCCAAGAGTCCAATCAAAAGACTAAATTTTTTTCACTGTTTCTTCGCTATCAGTTGGTTGGTTGCTGTACTAAGGAGAATTTTATGACGTTCTGAGAAACCTAATATATATGCATGCATGAGTTTACGCGTAAGCTTGCCTCACGCTAGCCACCACCAGCATGTAAACGCGAAACAATCAGCGTGGTCTGTAAGCTGCTATAGTAGGAAACACTCTAGCGTCTTTTGAATAAACTGACGTTGTAGGTCGGGCGTGTTGTAAGATGGGGTTAAACCGGTAAGAGTCTAATCTTAGGCATGTGGAACGTGGAGCGAACTGGAAAATAGCTAACACGGCACGTAGAGAAACTACTACTGAATTTGTTACAATTTGACTCGCAATCAATCGGACTCTTTCTACCGAAAACTACTACTGCACATAAAGAAGGCTTTCTTTGGTCGCATTGTCGCATACTGTTCAGTAGTTTGAGCAATAAGAGATGAGAGACAACGTATGGCAGGATTTTAGTTTTTAGGAAATTAAATTTTCTATATTTTTTTAGAAAAAAAAGATATATAAGCTATCCTTACCATACTTGACATTCGTAGTCCTTTGGATAGTTAGTTATCGGTGTAATGTTATCCATTTCGTAAATTAGCGTTTCTTGAGATTTTTGAAGCACGCCAAAACATATCACTGCTAACAACTTGCCACTTAGTAACCAGACGCTATTTAGAATGCATGAAAAACAATAACAGCCATCCAGGGAATGTTAAAATTGAGCTCGGCTTCAATAAAGGACAGTTCAAATTGCCCTTAGTGCGATCAATATAATTCTCTAGGGACACGATAAGTCAAAGGAACAAGTGAACTCGCCTACTACGAAGGGAAACTAAAAATATAAATTCAGAGATCTTACGAGACAATGACATAATTTTTTTTAATGAACGTGAAACAAAGCCATTTAATATTAAGTTAAACGTCAGTTCGGCTTCAGTAAAGGCCAATTCATTCAAACCGACCCTCTGTCAGGGGTCCCCCCTGAGGAATAGCTTGCGCTACAATACCCTAAGGACACTAAGAATCTACTACACAGGTCCTGTGGCCTGCTACAAAGAAAGATTGTTGAGTCCCGTGGGGGCACTTTTCTTAGCTGTCAAAAATCGAAGAAAGGATATATTATTCAAGTGTTATTAGAAAGGGAACAATGCAGCTGTACTGCTCGATAACTTTGCCAATCCTTATTTCTATGGTCGACAGACTTTGATTTAATGGGGCCAAAATGTCCTCAGCAGAGGGTTTCGTGGTTATAAGATGCCATTGGATTTTTCTTAAATTCATTACAGCGGCTTCCAACTTAGTCCAAAGGCCGGTTAGTCTTTCTGGAGTTGAAGTACTGTCCTCAATGGCAGACCGGGCTGTAAAATAAAGCTCTTGAACGTCCAGTACAAAGTGTTCTATCGCGTCCGGATTGAGACTAACAACTGTAGAAGAAGTATGTCATTAAATAAGGCAACATTGACCGAGGGTCTCAATGGGGTAACCGTTAGCCGTAAAACGGCCACAAAATTTTGCCTTTAGGCGTAAAAATTGACAAATTTTAACCGTTTGTCGTATAAAAAAAGTTGACCGTACACAAAAAATATTCTGGGACAGCAATGGAGAGAGATTAACCATTAGCGTAAATTAGCCAAAATTTTAACCGTTAGCCGAAAAATCCAACACCCCTTTGAGACCTTCCTGACCGTTTTGGTAGTCCGGGACCTAGAATATGGAACGAGATATATCCTTATTCTAAAACACGAAATTTGCGTTGCAAACGATCATTGATATTGCTGAAAGAGCAATATTTAACAAGGAACACTGCTTCATCAGTTTATATCGCATCTACAGTCCAGTGATGGCCTTTTTTGGAAAAGCTGATACGTAATTTCATTTTAAAAGGATTTGCGAAAGCACTAATAAATCATCAGGGAACGCGAAGAGCTTGGTTTTCCGGCTTAAGGTTAGCAATAGCAACTTCATCTCCCGAAACTCACAACTGGAGCTAATTCATAAGCAGCCTACCCGGATAGCCTACCTGGTTTTAAGCTTATGCCCATCTGCTCGTCTACGATTAATGAAGATGACCTTACTCCTCTTTTTCTCCCTTCAAAAAGAAGCTTGGGTTGCATGGAGTTGGCGGGTCGCTCAGTACATTTTGTCCTTTTCTTTCTCGATCAAAATAATTTGCGCCCTTGTAGATCGCAGAAGAAGCAGTGGAATACGAATACTTTTCCCATAATGACCACAATGGCGTTTGAGTAAGTGTTCTTGGAAAGAAGCCTGAGCAGTCAAGCATGCAATGTAAATTACCTACCTGATGCGGGTTGAAGGATGCCAATTACAAGACACCAGGAAAGAAATCTATACCAGGAAACTTGTTTACATGCATCGTAGCTTTGAAAGAGAGGTTTTCCTTCCACGAGACGGACAGTTACATTTCCCTTTAATTTTTCGACAATTTATCGCCAACTGTACTTCGAGTTTTCTATAATTTTAACAGTAAACAGGGACCTTGTGAAAGATTCATAGCACACGTCCCGCAGTGAAATTAAATTTAAAAAAAGGTTTTTCTCTGTTGTGCCTCACCTCTTTGTAAGGAATTAACTGCAAGTGACATAACGATTTCCTGGAGTTACAAACTCGTAACTCTGACTTGGAGTACGGAAGCAAATTATATTTATAAAATCCATTCATCGAATCTGAAATGACTAACATGTAATTTTATAAAATCTCAAGAATATTAACCAGCTTGTGCAAAGCCTTGGATCCTAAATTCACCTTATTATGAAAAAAGAAAAATTAGAAATGTCACACCTCCAGTAATCATCATTTCGGATATGACGTTGATGTTACATTTGATACCAGCGTAGGGGCGTTTCTCTAAGTGACACTATTTTTCAGATTAACGAGGGAAGTTCTTTTCGCTCCCCACAACAGCTTGTTTCATCTGTGCAAACAAATCTTGAAATGTCTGGTGATCACAGCGTAGGAGCCATCGGGCCAATTTTTACCCCAATGCACAAGTTGGTTCACAGGACTCACAAATTGCAGGCGGGCTACCGGGCGCGAAGCCCTACCGAACATTTGTTTGGGTGGACGACATTGCGCAAGTAACTTTGCCCCAGATGGCAAAAAGGTCAAGTTCGACCAGAGGCTTTGCGGAGACGCTATGGTGGCGCACCTAAAACGGGAAATTCCCGAAATCACGGCGACCAGGTGAGTAAGACAGTTTTCCACAATTATGGTCTACATTCTTTCAGCACCGCACCAGCTTAGACCGTAAAATGGCGAGCGTGAAAATAGTGATTAAATTCTAGTTTCAACCAATTTTTTGGTGATTTTGTGGCGGAAGGTGCCTAAGTACTCTGGAGCTTGCAACTTCTACTATAGAGACGGAAGGTGTATTCCTCTGCGGTGCTGCAACTAGGGCGAGGTTTTACCTGAAGTTTGGCGGCACTGTACTCTGGAGCGTGCGACTTCTACTATTGAGGCAAAAGGTGTGTTCCTCTACAAGACCTCACCTGGAGTTCTATAGCTAGATTAGGCAGGGGAAGGTGCTCAAGTACTCGTTAGCTTACAACTTCTACTATAGAAGCGGAAGCGGGTATTTCCTCTGTGGCGCCGCAACTAGTCTGAGGTCTCACTTGGAGTTTTATTACTAGATTTGGCGGCGGAAGGTGCTTTTGTACTCTGGAGCTTGCAACTTCTACTATAGAGGCGATGGTGTGTTCCTCTGCAGCCCTTGGCGAGGACTCACCTGGAGTTCTGTAGCTAGATTTTGTGGCGGAAGGTGCCTAAGTACTCTGGAGCTTGCAACTTCTATTATAGAGACGGAAGGTGTATTCCTCTGTGCCGGCACGACTTGGGAGAGGTCTGACTTCGAGCTCTATTATCAGATTTGGCGGTGGAAGGAGCTTAAGTACTCTGGAGCTTGCAAGTTCTACTATAGAGGCAAAAGGTGTGTTCCTTTGCGAGGTCTCACCTGGAGTTCTATTGCTAGATTTGGCAGCAGAATGTACTTTTGTACTCTGGAACTTGCAACTTCTACAGTAGAGGCTGAAGGTGTGTTCCTCTGCGGTAGCGTGACAAGAGCATCTATAACTAGATTTGGTAGTGAAAGGTGTATTTGTTGGTACTGAGAGATGACAATAACTGAGGTTAATAAAATATCTTAACCTTTCTTGTTCCTTTTGACTGTTCTTAAGGCCTTCTTAGTTTTATATGTTATGCATAAAACAACTCGTTAAACCAAAGAGGCACTCTCTCTCTCCCTGTGTTCTATTTGGGATAGATGTACATTGTCAATTGAAGTCTAAATTGGATACCGTAGTTTCTGTTTATACTGGATAGAGCACATAATGAAATATGTTATTAATAAAAAAAAACTTCCTTTAACTAAATGGATAATCAATTATATCTTTTTTAGCGTCTTTTTTTACAGTCCCTTTTTTTTCGTGACTTTTTTTACACTCCTTTTTTCCGCGACTCATTTTACAGTGCCTTTCTTTAGGCGACTGTGTTTTCGCGCCTGTTATTGCGAGTTTTTTGGCGACCTCTTTCTGCGACTTTTTTCCGCGACTCTTTTGTTGCGACTTTTACCGTGGGCTCAGAGCACAGCACCTGCGGGAAAATGGCGTCGTCAAATCATCGTCAACGTCGTCAGCCACAGAAAAAACAACGAAAGAGGTCAAATGACTATAAATGTAAATTAAGAGCGGTTTATTAGCATTATTGAACATTAACAGGACCATCGTCACTGGCCTCTAAAACAGCTAGGACCTCTTTTTGTGCAGCTACAAATTGCTGCCTTGAACCCATGTGAACTGGCCTAGCCTTGCAATGGGAAACAACTGTGTTAAATACATTATGCACAAGATGAAAAGCGAAGAAAAGGGCCACAAAAATTTCCTCTAAAAACTCAAGTGCTAGTGCAAACGCGGGGTTAACGCTTAACTGCAGATTTTATTAAATGGCCCACAAATTTCACGACGAAATACTTTTCGGTTCTTATCATCTACACGAGAACAGTGAAGCGTTTCTCAATGATAGCAATCTTTTGTTCTTATTATCAAACCTCGTGTTGGGAGTTCAAATTGCTATAAGCCAGTGTTTGTCTTTTCGGCTTTTTAATGTGAAATCTGCTGTACTTTAAATGGAGAATTCTCACCATGGTTAAGCCGTAGCTATTATAAATTTTACAACCTCAAGATAAATAAGAATCTAAAACAAAGGGATTAACAAAAATACAGATAAAATGTATAATTTTAGGCGACAGCACATTGACAGTCTAGACAGTAAGAACCATCGCTAGGAAACGTGATAAAGCGATTCATTGTTTTAAGACGACGAAACTACAACTTACAGGCGGCTAAAAAACTATTAAAATTGAAGGTAAAAAAATATGGTTTGAAACGATAGGAAAATATACTATTGTGAAATATAAGCTTAAGCTTACTTTCATTTTCAATAACTGATCATGAAGCTACTAAACGTTCAGCAGTTCGATAAAAACGGTTTCATCCGAAATATCATTGACTTACTGATAATGTGGCACGATGAGTAGGGTATAAATTTATTCGCTAACAAGCTAAAATATAAAAAAAGATTCTTACAGAAAAAGGCTCGCTGCATCTAGTAGACGAGGCTATAGAAGTAATTTTTCCTTTGTTGAACGTCGAGTGGACGGCGCTGCGAATACCTCGTTCAGGCGAATTTCGCGCCAAAATTCGATCTAAATGACGCAAGGGTTATGACGTAAGACCCCACATGGACTGCTCCATTTCAAACTTTAGCAGTTTCGACGTGAACCAATTGCTGTAACACTGAACCATTTCGCTTTGTACTAAGCCATTTGTCGTCACGCTAAACCATTTGGGGTCACGCTGAACCATTTGGGGTCACGCTGAACCATTTCACTTTACGGTAGGTAGACTGATGTGATACTTAGCTATTGCGGCTTACGATTAACCATTTGACGCTAATTTAAGCCATTTTGCGTTACTCTGAACCGTTTGTGTCAAGTCACTGAACCAAATTACAGTAAGCTGGACCGTTTGGCATGACAATGAATATCACAGCACAACGATCCATTCAAGACTTGACTTTTTCATTTTCGACACTGAACCATTTCAGTAAACACTTGGCCACTCGTGTTTTTATTGATTCAGTTCAACACAGCTACACAGTTTCTGAAATGCCATTCACCAAAGGCTACTTGTCCATTTGTATTTTATATAAATCTCTTAAAATGAGATAAACCGTTCTCCAAAAGACAATCAGACCATGCATTTTGGTTTATTTCAAACTATTTATTTTGCCTGTATTTTTGGCGGTGACGGCCGTCCGTACAAATTACGTTGTCAACTTGGTTGACAATGCTAAATTATCCTAAAAAACTAAATAGTTACGTACACAAGGAAGACTGATCAATCTGTGATTTTCTCAGTCCATCTGCCGGACGTAAAAAGACGAAAAAATATATGCGTCCTAGCAGTCGTTAATAGTCCATTTGTAATTTAGACAAAATCTCTTAAAATAAGATAAACTGTTCTCCTAAAGACAATTAAACCACTTCTATTTATTACAAACAACTTATTTTGTCTGAAATTTTGGCGATGACGGCCACCCGTACAAATTACGTTGTCAACTTGGTTGATAATACTAAATTACCCTAAAACCTAAAAAAGGAGATAGGGATGATAAAGCCTGCGCAACTAAAAGTTTTGGGGCAGTTTTGGTAGACAGAACCGCGCCAGTCACGACGGGAATGTGAAGGAACAAACTACCGCTCGGCCGCATAAATCTTCATTGACCAACCAAAACTTTCTAGTTACACAAGCTACAGACTATATTTTCGGAAGTTTTAGGACTTCAAGAAGACATCCTTTCACATCTTGCTCTTTTCCAAACCAAATTCGGTGATGAATTGGGACAGTTCGCTTTCCAACCGACTTGCTTCGTTCCTAAGGACAGAAAGCGAGCTCACTTAGAACTTCTGGTGCTGCAAACTCCCTGATGATGCTAATGTTTATATAATTACAAACGATGCTCCTATCTCTAAGGATGACGAGGTTGTCTGTGAAGGGAGAGTTGAGGGTAATCTCAAATCCCCTCTATCCCCTTCCCCTTGACAAAAAAATATTTCCTAAGATGAAATGGTTGTCTATGAAGGAGCAAGGGGTAATTCTCACTCCCCCTCCCCTCCCCTCCCCTTTCCTATCATTTTCACAAAATCCTTTCTTGAGAATGCTAGTTTAAGAAGCCGTGAGTAATCTCTTATCCATGTCACACCGTTCCCTTCAGCAAAAGAGAATACCAACCCAGTGCGAAGAGGGAGGTTATGATACATTTGAGTTCAGAAGAAAATCATTTTCCCCCACCCCACCCCCATTTCGCTGTTAATTTCTTCCCCTTCCCTCCGTAAACCTCAGTTTCTGCTTCAGCTGTTGTCATCAATTAATTGCCAATACGTAGGACAGAATTACCTTAATATTTTCGCATCATTTTCCATTTTCTTGAGCCTTTCTATTTCTTTATACAGTTCGAGGATGCTTCCTTTCAAATTTTTCATTTCTCTCTGAACCTGAGAGCCACGCTTCGCGATGGTTGAGGTCAGTTCTCTGAAATAAAATAAAATAAAATGTTTCTTTATCTATAGTAACCGGGGAGTTGTTAATGCATTGTTATGTATCTTATCGCCAAACCGTTGAAATACCGCGCGATTAAAAGCGAACGAACCGACACACGCACTGTAACAAGATAACAGCTAAGACCGGAATGAACTTGTGGAGAATCGGTCTAATTTTTTAGTTTACGCTGATAACACCACATATCATAAACACGTGGAATTAATACGCAGTAATCCTCATAACATGATCAAAATAACAAACATGTATGAGGAATTATTCAGCACGTGATATTCAGTTAAACCAAAGGCAGCTGAGGTATAAAAGTTCCTCTGCAGAATCAATCAGTTTTCAGGCTGAACATTCCATTGAATCAACACTTTTAACAACAAATAGCAGTGTTTTCTTGGCATATAAATAATAGCATGACAGAGGTGAAGACACTAAGACTTTGCATGCTCAGAATAGCATACCCACTGGGTGCAAAATCAAAGAGCCATGGACTATTCTGGAATCGTTAGGTTACTGCTCTCGTACCATCCAATCAACACTTCCATACTTTAAGCATATGGCACCGTTTCAACATTAAGTTTCAGGTCAAGTGAATTTACCCTCTGCTATGTGCTAGAGAGCTTGAGTTTGAACAAGATGATGACAGCATTTTCGCAAACACGACAGTCACTTGAGCTGAAAGGCATCAATGGGATAAATGGCTTTAGTTTTGGCTCAAAATGGTGCTGTTACGCGGCAACAATCAATTGAGGAACAAATTTATGTTTGGCACCGAGCGTAAAGCGCGGGAAAATTTGCGTCAGTTTAATTCTCTGTAACCTGATTGGTCAAAAGTATGACACCTGGTCTGATTGGCAAGACAGCGAGTGTAAACCGCGGGAAAATTTGCGACTCTTGAACAATGTGCGACTTAATTGGTCAAAAGAATGACACTTCGTCTAATTTTACTCGCAAGGCTTTGTGGGTAAAAGAAAATCAACCAACAATCGCATCACAGACGCTTCAAAAATCACATGGCAGCCAAACTTACTGTTGCACTTGTCCACTGCACTTGGCGCTAATGACACTGACTTCTGCCTGAAGCTTTTCAGAAAAGTAATCCACAAACTGTCGTTTGAAAGCTTTCTCTTTAGCACCATCGGTCCAACATACCCTCTCAATTACATGTACTCCACTGTATACCCCCCCACACAAAGCCATGAACCACCATCCTACAGTCTTCCAAATCTGCAGTTGGAGAAACACGAATTGAAATGGACGCTTCGCATAGGCATACATACATCTGTAATGTTGCGAGGGTTGTCATGACGAGGTGAGGCGCTCTGAGGCTGTCAAATACAAGTTGTCTCACACGAGTTACCAACAACCACACAATCCGGTAAGTTATGTTTCAAAAGCATTTTCTTTTGGTAAAGCTCAAAAAAGTTCGGTAAATCAACAGGATACCAGTACTTGAAAAAGCTTAGTGTTTGAAATGTCTCGCTCTTTCCTTTTCCCTGCTTTTGTTTCCTTTAGCAGATTTCTATAATCGTTTCGATTCTCTTTCGCTTACTTTGCAAGACAACTATTGTTTCTTATGTTTTTATTTGAAATTTTATGAGGGAAATTGAAGCACGGCCGGCAAGAATTGATCCCCTCGCGCATGCCCGACGTTTGACCGCTATGTTTTATGGTTGAGGTTCTCCAACTCAATAAAATATTTTAAACCTTACCAGTCCTCCCACTATGACTGCCAGTGTACCGGTGGAAATCGTTGGTGAAGCTAACCCTAGTACCACAGCTGGTCCGGTAGGTACCAAGCTCTGCACCTTTCGCTGAATCTTAGATAAAATCGAAGTTGTCATGAGCCACTAAAGTTCGAAAATAGGTTATCGAGGGGCGACATATCCATCCAACCTCGGAACAATTGTGGCGCAATGGATTGCACTTCACCTCACAAGCGAAAAGATTGAAGATCGATTTCAATTGAAAGCAATTTTTCCTTCTATTTCTTTTTTTCTCATATTCTTCAAAAGCATGTGTTTTCTTAGCTTCGTTGGGAACGTTACAACTTATTTTATAGTAATCAGCTACAGAACTACCGCCTTTTTCTTTCTTTTCCCTAACTTAAAATAAAATGAAGTGCGGGTTTTAATCATTCCGGAGTACAGTTCATCCATACTGTGTTTTAGGCGGTCGAGCCCTCAACATCTATCAAATATGGAAGGCTAGAGTGATGGAGCAGAGGAGTTAATTGTCGATCAAAACAACAACTCAGAAATGTCTTTCAGCCATTTCCTCGTTTGAAATAGAATTACAGTAAACAATTTAATGCTCTTCATGTGCTCCTTCGACCTTAACTCTTCTCTGACTAGGGTAATTTTTTTTATCGTTTGTTGTTCCAGTACTAAAGAAGTGTTCTTACATTCGCTCCCAAAGCGATGGCTAGTCTTGTATTACGAGGCGCCAAGAACTTCCTCAAAATCGCTTGCCAGCCAAGAGAGGAGCGAAACTCGATATCTTCACGAAAATCAGTGCACAGACGGGGCACATCCAGTTCGAAGTTCGCTTGGAAATCAAGACTACAATAAACAAACAAGATAAAGAAATTAGTAACAACAAAAACGGATATTTAATCGTTTCCCCTCTGGAGTGTCTGCTTCCTGGTTTCCTAAAGCCAATAGTCTTGATGTCTGTAGATCTTAACCCTTGATCAGCATCTAATTTCTCCTTACAATATCACCGGAGAGTCAAACGTCCAGGTTACGAGAATGAAGGAGATGAACGCCCATGAACAGAATGCATTCAAACCCTTTAACCCCTGAGAGTGATTAGCAACTAATTTCTCATATCAGTATCACCCCTAAAACAAACATTGAGGTTATGAGAATAAAGGAAATGATCACCAACTAAAGAAGCTCTTGATTGTTAAACAAATTCTCCTTGTCAGCAGCATAGGATATGTATAGAGAACAGTATGGAGAATATGCATGTGGATGTTTGGGTTTAAAGGGTTAACGGGTTAAGGGACACAATACTCACGCTGGAGTGCCGGGCTCAAGAGATACCTCTGGTGTTTCGGGCAAAAGACTACGAAGGCGATCTGGGAAAAGAAAAATATATTTATATGTACTTAAGGGACCAGTCATTAGTTCTCACCCGAGGGGGAGTGGGTGGGGGTCGGAGGATGTCGGTCTTGTCACCGACGATAAAATTTACCAGATCCCCTCGTAAGGCCCTGTAATATTCTTATGATTTCCTCTCCCCCCCTCGCTGGCAGTAAATTAGTGTTGGCAGTCAATTCTCAACAGTCCCACTTTATACTCTGTCGATGATGACTGAACCCCCCGCCCTTCCTTTCCCCCTTTGAAACAATGTGATCCTCTCCTAAATTCTCCCCCCCCCCCGTCTTCTTTTTCCTTTTCATATAAGTGACTTCAGTTGACCTTCAGTTATTACTCTACCTCAGTTATTTTGTTAACCTGATGCATTGCCTCCGTAACAAGCGTTCCAGTAGGAGAGGTGAACTTTTTAATATCCTAACCGCGCGAAATGCGCGGAACGAGAGTAAAAGAGTCGCAGGATGGGGTTGGGGTCGGGGTCGGGAGAGGAAGGAAGGCTCACAAGCGAATCCAAGCTTTTGAAAAATCTGTTTGCCCACGAATGGTACTTCTGATTGGTGCGGCGTGATGAAATTGACAGGTTTGACAACTAGCTATCAAAATTCTTGTGCAAAATGCGAGTGACCTACGATCAGAAAGATCACAGTGGCGGAAGACATGGAAGGTTTTAGCTAGACCAGTTCTGTAAACTGATGCAAGCTGTTTTTCAAAGGTACTTCTTCAGATAATTCCGGCAATTCACTATATACTCATTCAAGAATTTTTAGGCTTACGTACACATGCATGTTCACACATCATTCATGTAACATAGAGTAGTTCCTGAACACTGACCTGCCATTTCTTTTTGTGCCTCACAAATCACCTGAGTTTGAAAAGTTGAACAACAAGCCGCCATATTCCTTCCCAAGCCACTCTTTATGTGATTGCACAGCTCCTATTGACATAATGAGTGATAAAGTGTTCAATTTCAGATTATTCTTCCATTGCAGCTGTTGCTCGGCAACAAAACTGTTTACACATGTAATTTTCACCTTTTTGTATGTTTCGAGGAACTTAGGATGAGGATGGAATGGATGATCGAACTCATTCACCAGCACGTCCAGTCGATCAATCTCTTCTGTCATAGCCTCAGTCACCTAAAGAAAGGAAAACATTTTGTTGAGTAAGCAACATCAGACTTTCTCATTGGCCGAAGGGGACAAATCTTCAAACCCAACGCCAAAAGAATTTGTCCTAGGTAAAAACTGGACAAAACCGACCAAATAAACAAAACCGTGATAAACTTGTCATTCATCTGTCGTAAAAGCTACGACCAGCGTGTTATTGAACTGAAATCAGTTAACTAGAAAGGCACAAAATGTCTTTTGTTGCAACACTCAGGGTTTCTAAAAATTTTAAAACGACTTAGAATCAATCTTGGAAATGGAAGGTGGAATCCTTTGCCGGCCGGTCTTATAAACTGATCAGGCGCTGACGAAGTCTGACGGCTTTGAAATTTGAAAAAAGTTGTCCTTTGGTTTTTTTGGGACAATTCTAGTTTTGTCCGCTGGTGCGGAAAGGCCTAAGAGTAAAAATGGATACAAACTAGGGATTGGGAAAACACGAAGAACTGCTGTCAGGGTGGGGGACGGGTAGCATGGGATGAACTGGCTTTCCATTTCAGGGGGGAGTAGCAATACTCTGGGTGTGGAAATTGCGAAAAGCTCCGACAGTTTAGTTCTGTAAGGTTGTGTTCTGATTTGTGTTCATCCACACTACTCTTATGTGTAACTTTTAAAAATATAAGCTTCTAAAGATCTCCAGACTGCTTAGTCATGCTGACTTGCATACCATAGAACTTCCACAACATTTCATCAAGTCACGCACTTATTACGTAATACTACTAAAATAGTTTTTCTGTAAGCTTCTGGAATGCTCCAAAACACTTTGTTAAGATATAAAAAGACTCATGTAGTAGTAGGGGTAGTTGTTGTTGGAGCGACAACTGTTTTGAAAGCTATACCGAGAGAGAGAGAGTTACTGTGGAACATAGCTCATTTCAAGGACCTTTGGAGACAGCAGTGAGATTGTATCGGTGATGAGCTAGGATATAGACTGTGGTGGGCTTAATTAAGTTTATTAACGATAAGTATTGTACTGCTTTTAGGATTAGCTCCTTGTTAAGAACATCACTCGCTGTTTAATAAATTAGTAGAGTTTGTGGGATTGTAGTGTTTTTCTGTAGGTTAGATTATATCGTAACATTACTATAGGTCATCATACTTATTACAAATTAGGTGCATATCTGTGTGTACTCAGGCACTACAGCAGTAAAATTAAAGCAAACTCTTGATAAGATTTTACCACTTGCTTCAAAGTAAATTTGATATGCATATCAAAGGCACCTGACAAGCATCTGAGAAGCATGTCAAAAAAAGGCATCCATTTGATTACATACCTTTTGATCTTTCTGTTCTGAAACCTTACATTGTGAAAAACTTGAAATTACTGTAATTCAAGACTGTATAAACTACAAGTTTTAAACTTATGCCTCCTAAAGAACATTTGAGTGGTTATTTTATTACCTGACTCTGAACTTTAGAGGTGATTTCCTTGATCTGGCGTTCAGTGTCACTTGTATAAATTCTAAGCTGTTCCTTCACATATTCCAGTCTATTCTCTTGCTTCTTCTTGATTTCCTCCAGTTTAGATCTGAGCAAAATAGACCATAATTATGAATTTAGCAAAAGTGACAATTAACTAAAATCACAATCATTAAGCAAAATGAAAAAAATTATCTGTCTCTTTCTCACCTTTGCTGAGATGCAGAATCCACTCTTTGTTCCATAAGAACCTTTAATGTGTTTGCAATTTTCAATCCACTGACTGCATGAGATTCAAACTTGGTTTGAATGGCTGACTTGGTAATACACTCCTATAAAATCAAGCATGTAAAATTTCTATTGTGAAGTGAGAGTAATTAATTGACACAAACTCTTGACAGGCACATGTGTTTAAATTTAAATGGAAAAAGTACATTAACTAACATATACATCACAACTCTGTGGTAGCAACCTTTGCCTGGCTCTGACCAATAATTTAACACACAATAGACCCAGGGGTTTCAATAAACTTTTCCATGAGCAGCTGCCTATGGTGTTGAAGGTGGTAGTTCCCAGGTAAAGGGGTCAGGAGGCCCCTTTCAATGCTAAACATATAACAGTTAAAGGTCTTTCAGGCGATGGTAAACCACCTGTAATTAGCTTTAATGGGTGAGATTACGATTAGCAAGTTTGAATAACAATACCATTAATTTAAACATTGCAATCATCAAAATGTTTTTGCCGATCATCTTTTGCTTTGTAAGTGATCTGCTGACAGACAAGTGGCTACCTAAAAACTATGCTTGATTGTAAGCCTGAACAGCAGCGACAATACCTCAAATTTGCGTTCAAAGTTCTCAAACTCCAGGTGTCGAGCAGGAAATCCTTCAACATGAATAGCACCACCTGAAAAACAACAAGGCAATGCTAGTTACTTGATTTAATATAAAATCTTACTTTTTAACAGTTTGTCCATGCTGTTTCAAGAGAATGCACATTTTTATCAGCTACATACCTCCTTGAGGCATTCCTTGGTGATTCTGCATTCTGGTCATTAAGGTCTGGGTAAAACAGAAACATGAAAAGAAAGTGAGGTTCAAATAAATAAATAAATTAAGAAAGTGTGTCCTGTGTTATATTTCTCTTTGCATAGCAGTTACAAAAACTTGAAGACTTGGTCAAACTTATTTGCAACTGATCCTTATAAACTCTGATATATGATATCCAGCAGCTTACCTCTTTAGCAGAGACAAAAAACACTCTGTCTTCTGCATGTCCTTTGTCTACACACTTGAGCTCATCAACAAGAAAACTGATGTTTCTACTGAGATGTTGATCTTTCACCTTAAGGAAACAGGAAAAAAAAATTTAAAAATCACACTTTATCACCATCATCTGATAGTGGAGGGGGAAAGGGGTTGTTGTCCAGGGGGAGGGGGGAGGTGGGATAAATGATTTGTTATCCCACCCACCATCATACCTTAATCCTTCCCCTCTATCTAAGCCCCCCTCCCCACTCCTCCACTATGAATCTATCAGTACTTTTTTTCCAGCAACAATTTCCTATGGAAAGACCATCTGAAATGAAAGAAAACTCCAATGTTGTGTTTTGATTCCATTTTTGACAGCTTTTGATTTCAAATTTGAATGGCTATCAAGAACAAGTAAGTGCTTACTAACCAGCTCCATCATATCAGGTTCCAATGCAGCTGCATCCCATCTGTTCATTAGAGTGAAGATGTTTGGTCTTGAAAGACGCTGATTAACTTTGTGTAAAAAGGTTTTCTCCTGCAAATAACAAGGGTCAAATGAGAAACTATACAAACATGGAAAGGTTAAATCTATGAATGCTACCACATCAGATAAATAATTTATAATTTATAATTTATTTATCCTGTAACAAGTCATATTTTAAAGCAATTGAGTTTGTGTCAATCAATCAAATTATAAGTTTGTATGTGATGTATCTTAAATCTACACATACCCCATGAATGGTCATGAACATACCGCAACTGTAAGTGTTGACTCAGCATTAGCAACCAGGACAAACACATCAGCATCCAAACAGTGCTTCTCAATCCACTGGTTAAGATCATGGCTCACATCTATACCAGGACTAAAATAACAGTTGTCTGTGACTATTTACATAGAGCAATGTTAGGCTTCTTCTTGGTGTAGAAGATACAGAACATGTCACAATAGAGCAATGCCTCATTAACCTATTGTTTTCAATGTTTTCTTGTTCTTTCGTCATTTTGTTCTTCCTAAACCTTCACACTACAACATAAGTATGCATATTCACCTAACTGTCCTCTATACATTCCCTAAGGTGTAGACAAATACAATTTGCCTAACAGTCCAGAGCTTCTTTAGTTGGTGATGATTTCTTTTAATTCTTGTGATCTTAATATGTAAATCAGGAGTGAAACTGTAAGGAGAAACTTAATTCTTAGGGCTCAAAAGGTTAATTATACAGTACATTTCATCGCTTTTACTTTGCTTACCTATCCACTAAAACAACATCCTCTGACAACATTTTACATCTGAAGTTGAAAAAAAATTGAAACCATCACAAGTGATAACAATGTACAGGTAAAAATTTATTGCAATGATAAAAACCCACTGATGAAATGTGAAATGCATAATCTAGAACGTGTGTACTGTGTTTGGAAAGTTTTTTTATATCTTCTTAAGACACAAGAGGCAGTCCATCTGAGAGCTTTTCAACACTACAAGTGCATTTCAACTTTTTTTGAATTGGCTACCACTTTGAAAAATTTAGGAGCCAAGTGGCTCTCAGAAAAAAAAAATTAATTTCTTGCCCTTGACACTCATTGGAAAACCATTGACACAGCTTAATACTTTACTGTGTGTATATTAAACAAGGAAGTTGAGCATGATAACTTGAATTATCAAAACTGAGTTCTAAGTTATCTGCCAAAACTGAAGGCTGAGGAAGATTACAAAGACATCATGCTTAATAATTTATGATATCATGTTAAAACCAAATTCGCTAATTGTTTTAATTACACATTTTTTTAAAAACAATCTGGAAATGAAGGCACTTCTCTCTCAGTTTACAAAAGTTTGAGAACTCTTCATGGAATAAGGGCTTGAACTGCTAGGCAGACTATAAACTCCAAATGATAAATGCAATGTTGAGTTATCTCGTCAACTTCCTCTGCTTTTGTATATTAATTGAATGCTCTTGACCAATCAGATATTTTATGATAAGTCCAATACATAATAACAGAATTAATTTGAAGCCAAAAAATGTTGACAAACTTAACCTCTTTGGAAGAAACCTGGACAAGAACAATTCTTGTACAACAAAAGAAACTACATTCCACTTTTACAACTAATGAATGAAGTTTGCAGGGTTGAACTGTAAATGCACTTTGATTGACAGAGACAACAGTTACCTGTGAGTACATATGAATGATATAAAAAATTACAAAACAAAATCAAACCTGGACTTTGGCCAGAACACTTGAACAAGACTGCTAGGATCAAGCTTCTCTTTGCACAAGGCATGGGCAAGTTGACCTAATGACTGTTTTGATACCAAAAAGAAAAGTATGTAATTATCATGATTATTAACTTTTCATTAACTTATAGCATGTATCAATTGGCATATTATTTAATCTATTACATACATATTTTTATGCTTAAAGATATTTAAGTACCAGTTGTCTAAACTGAATGTCAAACCAAAATTAGTTGTTAAACCATATAAACACCAAAGAAATACTGCTAGTTTAGAATTAAACAGTATGAGTAATTGATCGAGGTTTAGGCCTTTATCTGCTGTCAGGCTATAAAAATCAAATACAAGTTATTAACCTTACATAATATTTATGGTTACAAGACTAAGTGACAGTTTGACAGAGAAAAATCACGTTTTCCTAACCAACTACCTGTCAGTCTTGAAATATGGATATTATGAAAAGTTGACTCACCAAACCCAGATTAAAACACCATCCTGATGCTAATAGCACCAGGTTCACCAGGCAAAGTTTGAAATAAATGCACTGGTTGCTTAATCAAGAAAATGTGGTACAAATAATTATTACAAAGGAGAAACTTACAATAATTTTTAAGAAGACATACCTTCACATTCTTTTTGTCATCACTCCCTGGAAGCAAGATATATGGATCTGGTAAATCTGAACCATGTACACTGAGAAAACAATTTGTGGTATGGCCCATTCCCGTTGGTAAGATCTTATCTTGTAGCATGGCATTAACTGTAGTGCTCTTTCCATTGCTGGTTCGTCCAAAGAATGCCACCTTCATCTGATCCCTTGATATTATCTCTGAGATGCTTGAAACCTGAGCCAGAAAGCCTGACACCTGTGAGAGAGAAATGCAATAATCAGTACTGACTTAATAAGAATTAATTACATTAAAAAATTGACAGTGACAGTGCAGGTACCTAGAGTGTGCATAGAGTGAGATGCACCACAAATAAGTTTTACAAAGAACTTAAGTCACAGTGTCCATAAATGAGATTGCAAAATTGTTGTCTTAGAGGTTAGCAATAATTGTCATGGCGATTGATTTCTTGAACTTCACTTCCTCAGATGGTTTTGGCATTGACATATTGTTTTAAGGTAAGAACAATTAGAAACATTAGTGTTTGAATATGCAGTTCACAGCAAGCTAAATACATTTCCCTTGTTAAGGAACAAACAGTTCTGTGGAGCAACGTTAGGTAGCTTTAGCATACATGTAACTCGTATATACTTTGTTTGCCCTTGATAGTAGTAGTGATAGACTTTCATTACACATCAGCAATTTCAATTACTGGACATTAAAAACCTATTTCTTGTACCTATGTTTTGTGCTGTGAAGCTAGGTGGACAAGTCCCTTAAATTTAGTGCAAATTTGTGGGTGCGAGATAGGGGTCCAATTAAAAACCTCTCAACAAAGTCATAGCAACCATAGTCATAAACGGTTGGTTCTTATAGAACCAAGTTTACATTTTACCCCTGGTCTGCAGTCTGCAGTCTGTATTTTGCACTGACCAATTATTGTGCAATCTATCTGAAAGCTTAATCCATGAAAATCCTGAATGGTGTATGTACAAATTTTAAACAATATTGTAAATATAACAACATTGCAAAGTTAATTAAAGACAGTATTTTATCGAAGTATCAATCAAGGTAGCTTTGAAGTGATAACAAAATAAATATAAAAAAACATTAAAAACAATAGACCGGTTTCACAATATTTAATTTACCAATTCTCATCATTATCATGGCGCTTGAACGCGATAATCGACAATCTTACCTCGCTTGAAAATTTATCCATGTCTCGCTCATCTTCAAAAGCTATTTTGTAGTCAGCTAAGAATTCGTTACAGGCTTCAAGATACTTTGTGAGGTGTCCGAATATGGCGTTTATCTCCTGCTTCGCTTTTACGAAATTGTGCATTCCGCCACCTCGAAAAGATTTAGCTCGCTCAAGCAGAGACGATAGATACCTAGTGCACGCTATGATTACGGCTTCTCGACATCGGAAGACCGTGGGAGAGTGGTTACTAATGTTACAAATATCGCAAATGCGATGAAGCATAAAGTTTGGACGTGCACAACGAAATCCTGTCCTCACACCAAAACTACCAAGTAACCCAAGTCACCATGAACATGGCAAACCATTTTGTATGTTCAAGGCTTGCTTCAAAGGACTATTTCCATTCCAGAATGAGCCGCTACCCAAACAGCGTTTCTACTTTTCATCTAATTCGCCTATTTGTCATACTTGAGCAAGTTCCATTACTCAAAACCGCGATAGTCAGTTTGGCTTTGGTTGCCTTCATTCTACTTCGTCTTGTCCATCTTGCCGTCTTGTCCATCTTGCCGTCTTGTCCATCTTGCCGTCTTGTCCATCTTGCCGTCTTGTCCATCTTGCCGTCTTGTCCATCTTGCCGTCTTGTCCATCTTGCCGTCTTGTCCATCCGTCTTGTCGCGAATTCCCACGTAGACTCTGTGACCCCCTTCTGCAGTATGATTTTATCGTGTCAGCGGTCGTCTCACTTTAGTAATAATAAACAAGGATCTGCCTGCAGTCAACCAGCGGTATCACAATTGATTACTCTACTCTGATCAGTTGGGTTCCGGAGTTGAAACCTTGCAGGATTTTGTTAGAATTTACGTTAAGAAAAGGCGAATTGAACGGCAGATTCAAAGAGGAGGTAAGTACATGGGTAAAAAGGAATGCTTTATTAGAAAACTGCAGAACTTTTCCGTGTATAGTTAATACAGTAAAAAAGCTGTGCTTCCAAGGTGGCCATATATACTTTGCCGTTAAGATCAGGAATAGGTTCGTCTGTTTGATAGTCTACTGGCCCATTGAAAACTTAGTAGTTGACATCAGTTAAAATTAAGAACAAGTAAGCATTATTATCGTAAAAAATATGCAGCTTTTAGAAGCTGGCCAGTAAGGTATTCTTGGCTTATTGCAGAAGAATATGTAATGGTTTCATATTAATAATTAGTCATGGTGAAGAGCAGGTCCTTCACAATAACAGTTTGAGTTGGTGAAGGGGGGGACTCAAATGTGTTCGCATGAGCTGGGAAAACTTGGATTTCAAATTACTGCAGGGAGGGGGGAGTTGGACAGAGGGGTCTGAACATCCTGATTCCCATACCCTTATTAAATGGCTCTTGCCTCTGTTTTATTTTCATTGCAAAAGTTTATGCAATTTTGCTAAAAATTTTACCCAGTTCCTGCCCCTCTTGCCTCCAGTACACCTCCATTCCCTATTCTCATGGGTTCCCATCCCCCTGTCCCCCACCAAATAACTCTTAGATACTGGGAATTGCTTTTGGAATTAGGAAAGAAAGTGTTTATACACAAACCAGTGACAAACGTGTTGTACCCGAAATGCAGTGGTTTTTTTTGTTGTTTTTGTTGTTAACAGTACAAGGATATGAATTATTTAGAACCGGACCTTCTTAATTTTATCATCAACTCCAATTTGATAATATTTTTCACAGGTTAATGCTTCAGCCATTAGTCTTGTAAATGGTTGGTAAATGGTTTATCAATCAGATTGGAACATACAGGGTAAAAAAGGGCATTTTATCACCAGCTTCTGGAAGTGTGTCTTCAATTTTCTCTTCAGTAAGTTCTTGTTTAGTATTTTATCTTTTGCTTGTTTGTGTGCCTTTTGGTTCTTTCTTGTTTTCTTTACAATTACAGTTTCTGAAAATATTGGTTCCATGGTTCTTGTCCAAAAAGATGTTTAATGAACATGACATATCTATTTCATCAGTTTCTCAGCAAATGAGTGCCTAAATCAAGGAACATTTGCTGTGACTGTAACAAAGAAGTATTACTGATCACATTCAGTCGGTCAAATTTTAACTGACTTAAATGATTGGTCTCTTAACAGTACACATCTTGGGCCCTTTTACTGCATATTCTTTGGAAAAAAATGATTTAAATTATATAGCTTGCTTTAGAAAATACACTTTCTCACAATTTTTTTCCCTTGAATGTAAATTTCAACAAGCTGAGCCACAACTCCATCACATACTTTAAAAATGAAAAGAAGACTCCCAGATAGGTTGTTATTTGTGTGTATTTTAAGTGTATGATCATGGACAATAAAAGAAAGGATTTTGCAATGCTGTGGCAAAGTTCACTCCTAAACAACTAGCATGGAAGAACTGTCCACATCTATCGCAGCCAAGCCAGTCTTCATTGTCATCCATCTGACACACCTTGCAAACAAGAACATCCCTTCCTCTGCCAAAAAGTGAAGTAAAAGTTCAAAATGATTACTTAATTCTCAATTTGTTTTTTGGGATTAAACACAATACACAGTGGTGATTGTAATGATAAGAAAGGCATAATTATTGTACCGCAAACTAACAATAGATCTTGCAGTTATATTATATATGATGTAAGATTGGTTGATGTAAAAATGTAAATATTCTGATAATGTTTCTTTAAAAACTGCTATGGAATGACATCATAATGTTTTGACTGTTTAATGTCAAAGATATTGATGGAATTGGTACCTATGAGCTCACTTATCTAATGCTTTATACTACTCTAAAGATTACCTTACAAATAAGTACTCCACAGTTGAATCCATCAGTTTGCTGAAAATGGGGTGGCTCGAGGCATGCCCACTCTTTACTTTTCCAGCCTGTTTTGATGTCAGCAGCCTCACTACAGAAAGATTGCAACCATTTTCATAAATGCTACTGGATATAGCTACAAAAATGAGTTATGAACATTGTCTCAATATTAATTCCTGGCGATTGATGGAATCAATTAAGTTAGGTTTAGTTAAGTTTATGTTACATGAAGTCACTAAATTACTCATATATATATATAGCTGAAAAATCATAAAAACAATGTGGCCAGTACAATGGCCATTCATAACTCTCACAACAATGAAACACAGGGTCTTGCTGGGAATACAGAAACTCACCTTATGTTAT